CTAGCTCTGCAGGCAATGCTGCTGAAGCTTTTCCCCAGTGCTCCCAGGTACCTTCCCCTGACACTATGGGAGTGGTGGGTAAAAGCTATAGGGGAAGTAGATTGCTGTGCGCCATTCTCCCTCATGCCTAAACTCTGTACTGCCCTACCTGGCCTGGCAACATCTTTAATCTGGCATACCTTATTTTCCAGAGTTGCTGGATTAAAGAGTTTCAAATAGATCTGAAATAATTACATTTACCATTTTTAAAATCCTATAATGTGAAATTGACTATGATGGGCCCTGCCGATAAGAGAATGTCAGGATCAGATTTACCTGCAACCACTCCCTGTTTCCACTACTGTGTTCCTTTAAAGAAGTGGGCCCAGCAGAGTTAATCATGTGCTGTGATGAGACTGAGCTGGTTTGGGGTATGTGCAAGTGGCATTTAATGTAAGAATGGACATGCTGGGTCAGACTAAAGGTCTATTTAGCCCAGTATCCTGTCTTCTGACAGTGGCCAATGCCAAATGCTCCAGGGGGAATGAACAGAAAAGATCATCATAATAATCCATCCCGTTGCCCTTTCCTAGCTTCTGGCAAACAGTAGCTACGGACACCATTCCTGCCTATCCTCCACAAATGTATCTCTCCCCTTCTTGAACCCTGTTATAGTCTTGAACTTCATAGCATCCTCTGGCAAGGAGTTCCACAGATTGACACTGTGTTATGTGAAGAAATATTTCCTCTTGTTTTAAGCCTACTACTTAAATTTAATTTGGTGACCCTAGTTCTTGTGGTGTGGGAAGGAGTACATAACCCTTGTTTATTCACATTTTAATTTATTTGTTTTATATTAATTTTAATAAAATTTCAGTTTTCAATCCATCTCTCATTTTGAAGTGTAACAGTTCATAATTGGGTAAAACATCTCTGCATCAAATAGAGTAGATGAGGTGCATATTATGAAGATCAAGCAAGGTGATAAACGGCAGCCTTTCCTGTAGCCTGTGGTCTGTGAAAAATTAATGGGGCAAAACCATTTTTACTGCATGTGGGCTGTGAAACATTAATGGAGCAAAACCTTCTGCTGACAAAAATGGGTATTCAAAATGGCATACAAAATAATCAAAATTAATACTATATGTAGTCCACTGAACTCTTGCAACACCAGAGCTTCTCCATGTGTCATTTTCCCTTCTTTGCTATATTAAACAAAACAAAAAAAGCCAGTTAAGAAAACTGAACCAGAGAACATACATGAAAGAAATATTAATAGTTTGATAAAAGGTAAAAAAAATCAGAATCAAATCTTTACTAAGTCTTTAACCAATCATGTGTTCAAATGAGACGAACCTGGGTTGATGTTGCTCACCATAAATACTTAAACTTCTAACTCTGAAGTGTTGGATACACATCAGTGGCACTAAATAAATGTTCCTGGAGATTATATTGATGACCAGATCTGGAAAATCCCCACTGAGTTCATTCAAAGCAGGATCACTATATCACAAGTAAATGTTTTAGGTTTCTTCAAAGCGCTTTCCATTAATGCCAATGCCAAATTGTTATTGGTCTATGATCTAGGAATGATAAATTCTCTGCCACTCTTCCTCTCCTTCTTCTGTAAAATAGATATAATATCTGTAAAGTACTTTAAACTTCGGATATGAACATTGCTGTAGAAATGAAATAAAATAAGTTATATGGAACACATGCATTTATTTTTTAGGAGGGAGGGGAAGGAGCGTAATTGAATACTTTTCTGTGTAATTTAAATGTATTTGTACCTAGCTTATTATTGCAAATACTAGGACTTGTTAAAAGCAGTGGAAATCAAATTGCAAGTACTACTGTAAGCTTCATATTCTTGGCCATTAGTGACTTAAGCCACTACACTAACTTAGCAATGTATACCATAGATATTAAATGAGTTTACTGAAATTTGAGATTCTAAAATAAATGGGTTTTTTTGTTTTTGTTTTTTGTAGTTGGATCACCGGTACAATGAATTCAAACTCCGGGCAATTATGTCTGAGCATAAGAAAACAATCACAGCAATATCTTGGTGTCCCCACAACCCTGATATGTTTGCAAGTGCCAGTGCAGATAACTTAGTGATCATTTGGAATGTGGCTGAACAGAAAGCTATTGCAAAACTTGACAATACAAAAGGTATCCGAAACACAGAGGTTTATTTCTTATCGCTGTTCATGTTAGCAAAAATATTCACATGTACTGAATGTTGAATGATTGGTGGAGAAGGTTTTAGAAGTTAAGCAGTTATTGAAAGAACACAAAATTCTTTAATTTCACTTCTACTATAGTTCATTGTAGAAAATGAGAAAAATACAGTATTTTGGTACTGCGTCAAAGTTGCTAATTTCACATGGTGGGTCACTTTTGAGTAGTAGGTTGAATGTTATCTCTCCACATTTGAGGAAACAGCAGCTCTCTGTCTAATTGCTCACCATCACTCTCAGCCTAAACTCTTTACTTTAGGGGCAAGTCATAATCTGATTTTAGCTAGTCTGATCACTGGCATAGCAAGGGGTGTGGATGCAATAGACTAAATTTCTTATCCCAGTCTTTTCCTCTTTTTTTACTCCCTCAGACTTCTGGGGCCCCAAAGGGCTGTTCCTTGGGCTTGCTCTGCTTGCCTCAGACCTTCCCTCCTGGTATCTGACAATTCCTGCAACAGGCCTTCCTCTAACCACTCCTGGCACACGTCACTAAACTGACTAAAGGGGAGGTTTTTAAGCGTTTTCAGAGGGTCCTTGATTGGCACCAGGTGTCCCAATAAACCTCACTGTTTCAGCTGATTATAGCAAGGTCTAAATGGCCTCCAGGTGTCTCAACTAACCTGACTCTCTCAACTGAGTTATAGGAGCTTTTTAATTGACCCCAGGTGTCTTAATCAAAACAGAGTAAGTGTCATTTGGCTGTCATGGCAGGGATTTGTTCATTTTAGGGTTAATATTTATCTCACTTTCTGGCTTCTCCCCATCCAGTACATTGTTCTGAACTATATAGTAATTGCTGAAAAACTGATTTCCCCTCCTCCCCCCCAACTCTTCTTAAAGCAAAAATAGCCTTTCAAATTTCTTTATATTCAGGGAAAGTTTATTTTTATTGGCAAATAAAATAGTATCAGTTATAATCAATCATTGTAGTGAAATGCAGGCAATTATGATTTAAGATTTGGATGGTGAGTTTTCATGACAGTTTTGCAAGGCTGAGCACAAGTAAAACCTGATCTACAACAAAGGCTGCTGTTTACAGGAGGCTGTTTACCAACTATGATCACGCTTAAAATCTGAAGATACAATTTTTGGTTCTGTTTAGATAAACATCTCAGCTAGCTCTTATCAAAAGCATGAAACTCTTGATCCACCTGTATTTTGTTTCAGTGTGTTTGCCAATAGTGAATATGATGACTGCCTCTGCAATAAGTCCATGTTCCTTCCCTGCAACTAGCTAGATCACTTCAGGTGCTTTGCTGCAGTCAGTTTTTCAATACAGGCAGTCCCCGGGTTACGTACAAGATAGGGACTGTAGGTTTGTTCTTAAGTTAAATCTGTATGTAAGTCGGAACTGGCGTCAGCCGCTGCTGAAACTGATCATTTCAACCGCGGCTGAATCTGGACACCAGTTCTGACTTACATACAGATTCAACTTAAGAAACCCAGGCGTCCCCAAGTCAGCTGCTGCTGAAACTGATCAGTGGCTGATTCCAGGAAGCCTGGGGCAGAGCAGCTGGGGTGCTGCTGGATTGCTCCAATAGCGCGGCTCCTCGGCTCTACTGGAGCAACCCAGCAGCACCCCAGCTGCTCTGCCCCAGGCGTCCTGATTCAGCCGCTGCTGAAACTGACCAGCCGCTGAAACTTTGCGCAAAAGGGACTTTTGCCTGAACGGGAGCAAAATAGTATTTCCGCAAGAAGCACTGATTTCCTACAGTAGGAAGTCAGTGCTTTTGCGGAAATTCAAGTGGCCACTGTAGACAGCTGGCAAGTTTTTCTGGAAAAGCGGCTGATTTTCCGGAAAAACTGGCCAGGCTAGACACAACC